CGTCTGCAGCATTAACTGCTCTGAAGTAAAGACCTACAAACAAAAGGAACTTTGCACGTGCGTTCGTCAGCGCTTTATTTTGGCTGTTTATGCTTCAAATCCCTTACACTAATAAAGCAAATGCCCACAGTGCATGTACCTACATTCCCACAATTCTTCGTGTTTGGTTAATGTAATAAAAAAAAATCTGAAAAAACAACAACAACAGTACAGTGGAGAGAAAACTTGCCTTTCTCTTCACTCGCTGAATGCGTTAGGATGCGCGACGTCGGCGTCCGGCGTTAGTTTAGCGTTCGGTATCGAACAGTGCAGTGGAGACAAGGACAACTAGCCTGCAGGCTTCTTATAGTCACTGACAAGGCTAGAACGCCAGGGAGGAGCGTACTCGTGGAAATGGCGCGTGCTGGTGGAGTTACGGTGAGAGCACAATTACGTAAATGACGAGGGCGAAGAGCTGACTTATTTTCATTTGATTTGAGTTGTCCCGCCTCGGGCGCGAGCTCGCTACCTTCGACGGCGCTTCAACGTCTCGTGCACCTCGAGCGCAGTCAAAGCATGGCAGAAAACACGGAGCTGAACGCTGGAGTCCCAGCGCTCGAAAGACACGCCTCGCCGTTCTCATTCTGTCAGCGACTATAGCTGCCGGTTCTTCGGAGCACGGGGACACGCACAAAGACGCTCGTCCCCTCTCGTGCGCTTCTTGAGCCGCGCAGTTGCACTTCTCATGCTTCGTACAAAAACGCGGTGTTCGTAGCAGACATCATGACAGAACTATCTGTGAACACGCCTCAAGCATCTCCGAAGCATGTCTTCTTCAGACATTTGTATACTTCGAAGAAGTCCCTAGACAGTTTTTGTACGACCAGTGTTACAGGAGCGCCACACAATGTGAACGCACGACAATGTGAACGCAACAGTTTCCTCCGGCGTCCGCTGACTCCTTCGTCGGTGACCGACTGAAGGCAATCTCCCCTTGTCTGATTTACAGCTCCTCGGTCGGAGAGGTCGTCTGGAACGGGACGACCTTGCCCTGACCTTGGCAGAGGCCAGATGGCTGGCTGCGAAGACCGACGAAACCGCGGAGTGCGCGGGGATTTTCTACGCGGCAAACAGGTTTGCCCCCCAGGAGCCACCCGAGGAGGCATGCAAAGAAAGGGGAGCCGCCCGGAGATGATTTCACCCCTGAGAGCCGGGCTAGAACGTAGCTGCAGCTCCTTTTACGACCTCACCCTTGTCCGTTTGCCCCATCGGTCACGGAAGGAGCACGCTGGTTACATCCACGAGATCTCGCAACCGGCTCGTATGATAGCGGGCCTGGCTCCATCCCCGCCCCCGCCCGTTTCGATCTGGACGAGCATTCGACCGGCGTGCGTTCGTGTATTCCTACTGCGTGATGGACGTTAAAGGGGTCGTGCAACGATATTGAATAGGAATGCTTCTCGCTTTACACAGGCTTACTGACCGAGAAGCTTTATTTTGTCGTCCCGTAATTTCAAGGATAAGAGCGGACGTTGTCGTTTTGTGTCTTCCTCGCACAACCTGACGACGAAGTTGTGGGGATGGGTGATCAGTGGGCCGAGTGGTGTTAGGGCACCGCAGCTCGGAGCGCGTGGAGTCAAAGCTCGCGCTACGGAACCCAAGCATCCTGGGTTCAATCCCCTCCCCTGCCCGTTTGGATTTGAATGAGCATCGTACTGGCGTGCGGCCGTGTGTCAGTACCAGAGGTCGGCATTTCTGGTATAACTCGCTCGCAGCTAGCTCAAAATAAAAAGTTAAAAACCTACTCACCCTCACGGCCCTACTCACCTTCAAGTCCTCAACCATGAACTCACCGAACTCACGCCCCGCATCGAACTCATGAACTCACCGATCTCACCTTCCTCACCGAACTCATGAACTCACGCCCCTGAACGAACTCACTGACCTAAATAACTCACGCCCCCCACCAAACTCATAAGCTCACCAAACTCACCAACCTCACAAACTCACGACCCTCACCGAACTAGTGAACTCACCCAACTCACGAACCCACGCCCCTCACCGAACTCAAGAACTGACGTCCCTTACCGAACTTATGTACTCACGCCCCCGACCGAACTTATGTACTCACTCCCCTGACCGAACTCATAAACTCACCGACCTCACAAACTCACGCCCCTTACCGAACTCACAACCCCACGTCCCTCACCAAACTCAGGACCTGACGCCCTTGACCGAACTCATAAACTCATCAAACTCATGAACTCACCAACCCCACGACCCCCGCCGAACTAATGAACTCACTGAACAAATGCCCCTCACCGAGCTCATGAACTCACGTCCCTCACCGAACTCATGTACTCACGTCCCTGACCGAACTCATGAACTTACCGACCTCACAAACTCACGCCCCTCACCGGATCCGCAAACCCGCGTCTCTCATCAAACTCAGAACCTGACGGCCTTGACCGAACTCATAAACCCAGCAACCTCACAAACTCACGCCCCTGGCCGAATTAATGAACTAACCGAACTCACGAGCCCACGCCCCTCACCAAACTCCTCAAGTGACGCCCCTCACCAAACTCATGAACTCACGCCCCTGACCGAACTTATGAGCTCCCTGACCTCACAAACTCGTGCCCCTTACCAGACTCAGAAACCTATGTCCCTCACCGAACTCAGGACCTGGTGCCCTGGAGCGAACTCATAAACTCACCAAACTCATGTACTCACTAGCCTCACGACCCTCGCCGAACTAATGAAATCACCAAACTCACGAACCCACGCCCCTCACCGAAGTCATGCCCCCACCGAACTCATGAACTCACCGACCTCACAAACTCACGCCCCTCTCCAGACTCACAAACCCACGTTCCTCACCGAACTCAAGACCTGACGGCTTTGACCGAACTCATAAACTCATGAACTAGCCGACCTCACAAACTTATGCCCCTCACCAGACTAACAAACCCACATCCCTCACCGAACTCAGGACCTGGCGGCCTTGACCGAACTCATAAACTCACCAACCTCACGAACTCACGACCCACACCGAACTACTCACCGAACTCACGAACCCACGCCCCTCACTGAACTCATACCTCCGACCTAACTCATTAACTCACCGTCCTTACAAACTCACGCCCCTCACTGGACTCATGACCTGACGCCCCTCACCAAACTTATTGACTCACGCCCCTGACCGAACTCATGAACTCACCGTCCTTACAACCTCACGCTCCTTACCAGACTCACAAACCCACGTCCCTTACCGAACTCATGAATTGACGCCCCTCACCAAACTCATGAACTGACGCCCCTGACCGAACTCATTAACTCACCGTCCTCACAACCTCACGCCCCTCACCGGACTCACAAACCCACGACTCTCACCGAACTCAGGACCTGATGCCCTTGACTGAACTCACAAACTCACCAACCTCACGACCCTCGCCGAACTAATGAACTTGCCAAACTCACGAACCCATGGCCTTTACCGAACTCATGAACTCACGCCCCTGACCGAACTCATGAACTCACCGACCTCACAAACTCACGCCCCTTTCCAGACTCACAAACCCACGTCCCTCACCGAACTCATCGAACTCAGGACCTGACGGCTTTGACCGAGCTCATAAACTCACCAAACTCATGAACTCACCAACCTCAAACTCACAGCCCTCGCCACACTAATGAACTCACAAAACTCACGAACCCACGCCCCTCACAGAACTCATGAACTAGCCGATCTCACAAACTCACGCCCCTCACCAGACTCACATCCCTCACCGAACTCAGGACCTCATGGCCTTGACCAAACTCATAAACTCACCAACCTCACAAACTCACGACCCTCACCGAACTACTCACCGAACTCACGAACCCACGGTCCTCACCGAACTCATGAACTCACCGTCCTCACTAACTCACGCCCCTCACCGGACTCACAAACCCACGTACCTCACAGAATTCATTGAACTCAGGACCTTACGGCCTTGACCGAACTCATAAACTCACCGAACCCATGAATACACCAACCTCACAAACTCACGGCCCTCGCCAAGCTAATGAACTCACCGAACTCATGAACTGACGCCCCTCACCGAACTCATGCCTCTGACCGAACTCATGGACTCACCGTCCTCACGAACTCACGCCCCCCACTGGACTCACAAACCCACGTCCCTCAGCGAATTCAGGACCTGACGCCCTTGACCGAACTCATAACTCACCAAACGCATGAACTCACCAACCTCACAAACTCACGACCCTGGCCGAAAAAATGAACTCAACAAGTTCATGAACTGACGCCCATCACAGAACTCATACCTCTGACTGGACTTATGAACTCACCGTCCTCACAAACTCACGCCCCTCACCAGACTCACAAACCCACGTCCTTCACCGAACCCATCGAACTCAGGACCTGGTGCCCTTGACCGAACTCATAAACTTAGCAAACTCATGAAATCACCAACCTCACAAACTCACGGCCCTCGCCGAACTAATGAACGCACGCCCCTGACCGAACTCATGAACACGTGAGCTCACCGACCTCATAAACTCACGCCCCTAACCAAACTCATGAACTCACCGAACTCACGCCCGTCACTCAACCTCAAGTTTATGAGGTTTCGAAGTTTACAAACTCCCTCAGCCTCACCTCAGGCCAGATCGGTGAGGGTGAGTGAGTGCACTCATGAGTGAGTTTCGCCGAGGTACGTTCTCTACTGCGTGGCGCACGGTCCCATTGTTCGTACGTCCTAGAAAAAGATGCGGTACTCGCTGCAGGCATAATGACATCTGCGGACAGGCCTCAGGCATGTTTGAAGCATGTGTGCTTCGAACACGTCTGCAGACAGTTTGTATGACCAATGTGACCGTTCTACAAGCAAGAAACACGCCTCAGTTTTCGCAGACCGTCTTTTGTAAGATGTATTAACGGTGTGATCGCGGCTTCAAGGCGTAACGCCGTCACATTGGGTGGTCCTACTCAGTCCACTCCGACCGATGCTCACCGACGGACTTCAGGAGTGGCTCGTCACCGTGACGTCCACGTACTCGTCTCCACCCTGCGAGTAGTCGATGGCCACGGGACTGGGAACCACGCTGCCGCTCGTCGAAGGAGACGTCGTGCCGTACACGACCTGCGGCGCGGCGACGGGAACTGGCACGGGCGCCGCGGGGAGCGTTGCCCTTCCGGGCACCGCCGAGCCCAGGCCCATCGGGGCCGGGGGTCCGCCGGGCAGCACGTACGACTGCGAGCCCGGAGGGGGCCCCATGTGCAGGGCGAAGTGCCCCAGGGACCGGTGCGGGTCCGGGTAGGCGGCCGCGGCCGCGTACGCGGGCAGGGGAAAGGACGGGAACACCGGCGGTCCAGGGAGCGGAGGGCCCGGGGGAGGGACGCCCACCAGTCGTAGGTGGTGGCTCGGGTGCAGACGGGGCAGCGTCGTGTTCCAGAAGGACTCCGCCAGGTGGGGCCGGTGCGATGGCGACGACACTGCGAGTCGGGGAGCACATGAGACAATCGGACGTCACTCCACTGGAAATAACGCTCCTCTGAAACGGAACATTTAACGACTGTTGAAACGAGGTGTCCAGCTTCGTATTTAGAGAAATATGTCCTACTGATGCGAGACCCGTCCAGCGTAGGGTGCCTTAGTAATACAGTGACTTCTGTTTCATTCTGTTTACATGTTACGCATACTCATTAGGCCGATTCATAGATACACCTCAGCGCTAAATCCACACTAGAAACAGCGCTGATGCAGTGCTCACTTGTGTGAAACTTGGCACTGATGCAAAGCTGTACCAGTGCTTTGTCACTAATATATCGCAAAGTCACCGCTGCCTTATATCGAATTTGGGTGGTCAGTCGACGGCAACTTATTTTGCCGGAAAACCGGCAATAGTGTTCGCGTGGTCAGTTCTCGGCCAGCGCGCACCGTTCGGGTGGTGGTTCTCCGGCAAGCACCGGCAACTTTCCGGCACTTTTCCCGCCTGAGCCCCAAGCGGCCGGGCGAGCAGGCGCAAGACTGTATCCGGTGTCGTCACTTCCGAAATGGGAGAGAAGGTCAGTGAGAAAAATGAATGAAAGAACGAAACTGATCTGAAGTCCCTTCAGCAGCCACAACTCGAGTTCATCCAAGCCGTTGGGACACGGGTGACGGATGCGACAGCCCCTCGCTAGCGCTGTCGCGCGGGCTAGAGGCGAAGTAAACTGCCACCGACTGGCGTTTCGTGTTCGGGTGCTGAGGGTCACGTGGTGTGCCCCGGCGCGTTTCTGGTTGACGGTTCCGCCGCCTCGGTCTCGCCGGCGATTGACCACCCGAATTCACCCTTAGAAGGGTCAGCATTGTTTTCTCTGACTAATAGCGCTAAGGTAGTGTGGCGGAACATGGGTGTGAACAGCCTTTAATGTTTCCCGCAGTGCTGACAAAACACGTTAGGAAGTGGAACAAAGTGAATTATATAATGTATGGCAAAATATTACGATTAACCGTGCTAGCCTCCCTGTTTACGCTTTGAAAAGGCATGATGGCCTTTTATCACATGACCCGGTGTAATAATTGTAAGTAGCTCAACAAAAGACAACAAAAAAGTTGGCATGCTTTCTAAAATAATATATATATATTTTTAAATAACCCTGTACATCCTTGTGTGTGTGTGTGTGTGTGTGTGTGTGTGTGTGTTTGTGTGTGTGTGTGTGTTTTAATAAACCTTTGACCACTTGACGGGGAGGAATAAAGCCCAGCTTTTTATTATTACTTCGAGACGATTTATAAATAACTGATTTCCTGCTATATTTATCTCACTATGGCAGCCGAACACTCTCACCACATGCATAATCAATAATGGTTATTGATTTTCATATTTGTTCAAGATATTATATAACTGACCCATGTGGATAGACATAAAGGTGAGTGAGCCCTTAAAGACGCTCCTTAATCGTTCGATTTTTTCTTTCTCCGTTTTTAATTTTTGGAGCGCTGGGTAATACCTTAGTTTAGGAGGCACCCTTAACCGCAGCTAAATGTGACTGAGGTCATACTCAACTGCGGTAAGGGTTCCCGAAGGGCATCTTAAACCGTACTTACGCTTAAATATAGTCAGAAGTTACTGTCAACTATACCCTAGTCGCACACGGGCAGCCTTAACCGGTGATAACTGCAGCTGGGTGGTTTCAAAAGAACTCGGTATAACTAAATTTTTAATAAAAACAAAATCGTTTTGATTGGATTTTAATAATGAAAGGAGGCGCCAAGACGAAAAATGGCGTTTTTTCCCTCCTCTATGGGCCTGTGAGGTACTGGGAATGGCTAAATAGATTTATTAATTCGTGCAAACTTTGACTGTGTTTGGTTTCTTGAAAAAAAAAAAAAAAACTATAATAAAGTAGAAAAAAAAAGGGGGGGGGGGAGCGTACCATTCCCGGCTAGGTGCCAGGTTTTAATCCTCCGCTACTCTACGTCACGGGATCCCGATACTTCGGGGGAGGCCTGTACACCGTGGCTCGTAACCTCGAAATTATGGGTGTCATAAAAGCGCGGAAGCACGGCGGCGACCTTGAGAGACCTTTCTCTCATTCCCTCGCAGTGTCGCCACTCGCCATCGGTCGGAAAGGAGAAAACAGGAGGACGGCCGTTGGGACGGTAAAGAAAGATGGCTGTCGAAAAAGAAGCGAAACAAAAAACAAAAAAACCATCATGGCGGCCGTGCTTTCGACGGTATGCCGGCGTAGGTGCCTCTCCCTGAACAGAGGGCAGTCCCGGTCCGCAATGCGACGGTAATTAGTCCTCTTCCCCCGGGTACGTAGGGCTTAGGCTCTCTAATGACGCTCGAGCGTTCGATGCAGGTTTCCTTATCTCAGTTTCACCGTCAACGACGAACGGCAGCGGATGCTACGAGCCACCGAAGCCAGTCCAATGCCGTCTGAGCGTCATGTGACCTTCGAAAGGGCCACGTGGTGCGTTCACCACGTGACTACGCACGTGGTGAACGCACCACGTGCGTAGTCACGTGGTGCGTTCACAGCGCCAGATAGGCCGGAATGGCTCGTAGCGTCCGTTGCAGTCCACCCTAAGGTGAACCGGAGTATATCTCCGTCACGAAGAAAATGATAGTGGAATAAATTATCTGTTTCAGAGAGTAACCCAACAAAGTTTGGGTACATGTGGTGCGCAAGGGTTTCACGTATGTAACGGAACAACTTAATCACGACCGCGTGCTATAACGGAATGGAAAGGTAGCCCGATCTTCGTTCTCTGCTCGGTTGCTTGCCGGCATTCAAGATGTCCCCTTACGCTCAGTCTAGATCAAAGACGTTGGTGAACTAGATTGTGTGTTGTTTTAGTTTTTCTAGCCCTTTCAAATCGTTTTTTTTTTTTTTTTTTGTTCTTTTTTGGCATGATTTCGGGGTTTTGTGTTCCGACTGAACAAGACCCGTGTGTATGCGTTGCTCTCGACAATGCGCGGGTCGTTTTCGAGAATGGGCGGGTGAGGATCCCGTCAGACTGTTTCGTGCTTCGAACACAAGGGGCTGTCGATGCCGCCCACGTACCATCATTTCTTTTCGAGTTCAGTTGGTCTCATGGAAGACGTCTCAGTCCGCCTTGATAAACACTCGGGGCTCGTGTTTGGATGTTTTCGCGCGGACCAAAACGTGATAATTACAAACGCCGAAGTTAGCGCTAAATGGTATTGCCACGTTAGCGCGGCTCTGACGTCAAGTCGCTCCGGTGGCACTGCCGTCGCCACGGCGCAGGCGCAGGCTCTTGGCATCACGTGATCGAGTTGGGTTTCTGCGCCCGCGCAATGGCCACACCCAGGGATGGGCAAAATACATGCAAATATGTATCAAAATACAAATACAAAATACTTCGTCAAAAATGTATTTAATTACAAATCTAATTACATTTCCAAAAAAGCATTTAAGTACAAGATACAAATACAACCAATTGTATTTGGTCTCCTCCAAATACTTCTCCAAATACATTCCTCAAAATTTGCGTCAGCGACTTCAGGGCACCTGCAACGGGTTTCTACAGTATCTCATTTTAATTTTGCATCGCATACTCGGGAGTTGGTGTGCGAGGCTCTAGTAACGTAATAGAAATATAATCACAAAAAAAAAAATGTAATCAGCTTGGACGTAATAGGTCAAAAAAGTGCAGAGCTTCAAGCAGCTTTTTTTGTCGATTACATTTTGGTATAGAGCAACAAAGAACCGAGACGACCAAGACGCGCAGCACTAGCTAGAGAATTTTTTATAGTTGCAACTCGCACCAGACACGAAAATCTGGACGACCTGCGCATTTAGAATGTTTCAGGCAAAAATATAGATGGAAATCAGGCTGGAAAGCATCACAAGTTGTCACAGGCACTTATTTAGCCAGTCTGCCTGTGAACGTCGATTTCGTCACTATTCTTGCCTTGGACTAGCACCGTAATCACAAAGTCACTAAACGCTAGTGCTTGATTGAGGGACACTGCATCCGGTGCAGAACGTAGTTTTCTTCCTGCTCTGGACACGTCTTAGGATGAGCAAAATGAGTCGTGACAATAAATTTGAGGGATGTATTTTCACCCACAAAATTGTATTTAATTACAATTGTATTTCAAATACCCACGTTTTAGTATTTAAATACACACGTCAAATACATTACCCAATTTGTTATTAAATACAAATACAAAATACACAAAGTATTTGAAATACGTATTTCAAATACTTGTATTTAAAATACTGCCCATCCCTGGCCACACCATAGTGTCGGCAACCGCGGACTGGTTTGTGAACGGCGCGTTGGCCAATGGGGGTCGCCACCGCTCGACAAATATGGCGGCGGCGTGTGGACGCAAGCGAGCTTCCAGAGAGGCTTAGCCTTCTTCGGGGAAGCGTCGCGGCGGATAAACGCTATTCTAAAACTCTTTCGCGTAGTGTGCGCTAACGGAAGCGCTAAATTTAGGGCTAACGTACGCTAAAATTGCGTACCTTGTTCTAAAACTCCCCAATCCCTAGCTCACGCCGTTGCATTATGTGGTGTTCAGAGCGACCTTTGCAACACCGTGAAACGGTGCCAACGACTAGTCACCGGTACGTGTATATCGGTTTTCTCACGAAGTAAACGGGCTCCTGATTTGCCTTTTTTCAAGCGCGTCGTAAACGGCCCTTCGATAACCGGACGCAGGCGGCGGTGGCTTCTTTTCTGACTCCACACGTTGCCTTAGCCTACGCGGTATAGAGAGGAGGTGGCTCGATGCTTAGGTAAGCAAGCGCCACTAAATTTCACACGTGCACCTATAGCAGCTCGAAGACTTGCTTACACCCCTATCGGAACCGGCCATCTTCGTGCAAAAAGTTCAAGCCCAACACGTGGCTCTGATCTTCGTGTGTGCCATCGGAACGGGCCATCTTCGTGTGTTCTTCTGCGTGTAATAGACCGATCTCAGCGTTCGGCGCATGCGTGATGCCGCCATAACTTCAGTTCATGGGAGGCAGAC